CCACCACCACCACCCCACCACCATCACTGCCACCACCACCACCGCCACCACCACCATCATCATTATCTGTGAGCTTTACCTCTTCCAGCTGTGTGACTTTGGGCAAGACACCCAGCCTCTGGGGGTCATCCACACAAAGAGGGAGGTAGTCACACCTTCCGGGGTGGTTGTCAGGATGGGATGCAGTCACATGGTGTCACCCAGGCATACTGAATTGTCGTTACATCAATTGGACACACCCACAACTGGCTTTTGCCTGGCAATGTCGGATATACAGAGAGGCTAGAAGGCTGCCCAAAGCATTGTGTGCCCTGGCTTCGGACTCCTTAAATGCCCATGTTGTTCTGCTCGGTGCATGTTTTTGCCGAGTGGCCAGCAGTTGCCGGCACAGTTCCTCCCAGCCATAGGTTAACTCATGCATCCTGTTTTCTAGAAAGCAAAAATGTACTCTTATAAGATCACACCACAGACACAAAGCCTGGGCACTGACACACGGATGTGACACTTTACCAGTTTGTCCGCCCAGGTCCTCCAGCAAACCAGTGACACATCCGATCCAGATCCAGAGGTAGAGGGCTTCTTTCTTTTTTGTTGTCATTCTGTTTTTTTGGGACAAGGTTTCTCTGTGTAGCCCTGGCTGTCCTGGATCTCTCTCTGTAGACCAGGCTGGCCTCGAACTCACAGAGACCTGCCTACCTCTGCCTCCCAAGTGCTGGGATTAAAGGCGTGTACACCACTGCCTGACTATTTTAATTTTTTTTTTCATTTAGTTTTTAAGATCTTTTTTGTCTCCTTTCTCTGGAACAGTCTCTTAACTTTTCTTTGACTTTTACAACCTTGATTCAGTCATTCGTTTGGTTTTGAGGCAGTACCTTGGTATGAAGCTCCAGTCTCTGCCTCCCCAGGACTGGGATTTCAGACACACCCTGCTTGACAATATTTGGAGACTACAAATCAGTTGATTCTTCTGTTATTTGTTCATGATTAGGTTCAGAGCAGGAAGCCTGTGGGGGGAGGGGCACATGGTGCTGCTTCGTCCCATTTCTCATCTATTCAGTTTGGCCAGCGATGAAGGTGGCATCTGCCTGGCGGCTCTCATACTTCCTGCCTCAATGACATCAGATGTCATTGTGATCTGGGCAAAGAAAGTGCCAGCAAGGAGCAAGAATTCAGCAGAGTGCAGCCAGGCAAGCCTCCCTGCCATGCCCAGGCAGGCCTCTTCCAACACCCCTACCCCACCCCCCACCTCCCACCCCGTCTCTAGATACACAGGCGAACTAAAATACCCATAAGTCTGCTTGTAAGACTCAGCTGAATGCAGCATTTTCCTATCCCTTGCTTTATTTTGCTCAAATTTTGGAGTCCTTTTTGTACCTAAAAAGAGAACTCTTATTTGGCATAGGCCTTCAGGACCCCCTGTGGTACCATACCAGGTAGTGCAGCCTTTGCCCTGGCCCTCCTTACTGGGCGTGAAGTCCAGGCCCTCACACATGTAGACAAGTACTCGACCACTAAGCTATACAGCCCTTCACTTCCAAGAGTAAAGAACCTGAGGTTCAGAGAGAGTAAATGACGGGTCCTCAAGGTCAGAGACCACGTGAGCCTGGAAACCAGCTTGCTTGCCCACCTCCCACCTCCTCACACAGGGAGCCCACAGGTCTCAGCACTGAGATCTGGGCCTTCAGGGGCGGGGGCTCCCTTGCTACGGGCTCCACCTTGGAGCCCACCCTTAGTCTGGCTGTTCTCTTCTGCCTGGCTATGCCTGCCAGGTCCCCTTCTTGCCTTTCATTAGGGACTCCCCTCCAGCGCCCTGCTGTGTGGGTCTTGGGAGCCCCATTGATCCTCTGACAGTCCAAGACAGATTGGCCAGCCTGTGTACTCAGGTGCAGCATGCGCACATGGAAGCCAGATGAGGAGGCACTGCGGGGGCCGGGGGCCCACTGTGATGGGAGATCGAGCACCGAGGAGGGTAAGACAGAGCACCCTGGACACCTGCCTGCTCCCCCCACAATTCACATCCTTCCTGAGATTCCCTTTTCCCCCTCTCACCAGGCCTGGGCAATGCAGGACCTGAAGCAAATGGACTTAGCCAGTATTGCTTTGGAAGACCTGGGTGTGTAGCTGAGAGTAGCTGGGATATGGGGGCAAACCTGAGTTCAAAACCAGTGCAGATTTTCTGCAAAACTGGTGGATGGAAGCTCTTCATAAGCCTCAGTTTCCCCAGGGGAGTGAGGAGGAAAATAGCCTCCACAGGGTCCGGCAGGCAGAGGGGCGTGGCCAGCAAATGTCCCCTCCCCCTTCGCTGGCTTCTTAGGACTCCCTATTGCAGTTTCCTGTCCAGCTGTGGAAGCCCCCAGACGCAGTGAACCCATCCAGTTCTCCCTCGCCTTGCAGGCATTTGCTCCCATAGCTTCGAAAGGGCAGTACGGACCTCAGAATGAGGGGTCTGCCCAGATGCCCCATGACACTCCAAGAAGCCTTTTGAGGGTACCATGGGATTCTAGCCCTGTGTACCATGCAAAGGGGCCTGAGCCCAGAGGGGACATTGAGACGGGGTTGCCTGAAGATAGGGACCTCAGTGAGGGAGGAAGTCTCAAGCAGCCGATGTGAGCAAGAGAGGAGACCCAGGCTTCGGGGAAATAAGCAGGGACTCCTGTGGGGTCCAAGGGAGGCTGTGTAGCAGGCCACGGCTCAAAGAGGACAATGGGGACAGAGAGGACGGCACTCAAAATAGAGTAAGGCTCAAACCAGGAAAGGACCCCGGGAAGGTCTCTGGGAAAGGCAGAAGGTACCCTGGCTTTATAGATCAAGAGGAGGAAGGTTGTATGTAGAGGGCTGGAGTGGGTGACTACCGAGAAGCCCTGGGGCAGCCTGGGCTTTCTTCCCAGCTAGACTTTCAGTGTACTGGGGTTAGTGAACAGTGGGATCCAGCTTCCTGAAGTTTGCATTTGGTGCCACTGTGGCAGGCAGCCGGTACCAGGGCGACCTCCGGGGAACAGAGGTGAAATCACTGCTTCATGTCCCTGTGCCTTCCCTGCAGATGAGCGGACAATCTTGACCCCAGGAGCAGCAGCATCACTAACCTCCACAAGGCCAGGGCCTGGGGGGAGGGTCCTGGAGAGGGCACAGGGGCCGTGTCTTGGTGGGCCTTCAATGATGTGTGAGCTGACCCTGCAGAGATGGAATGGAGCAGAGCCACTGAACTGGGCAGCAGTCTTTGGCTGATGGTGGCCACGCTGGGCTCAGGCCACCATGCTGTGCTGGCTCTGCCCTTCCAAGCTCACACGGGGACCTCTAGCATGAACTAAGGTAAGGCAGCGTCACAGTAGGGGCAGCCATGCTGGGGCATGAACCCTTTAGGCCCAATCCTACGGGTCTGGCAGTCCCTCCGGCCCCTTAGCCATCTCTGCAGGGATGCTGGTATGTTTGGTGCCCCCAGCAGGGCTGGAGGGTGAGACTTAAGTATAAATAAATAAACAGGCAACAGATGGTGTTGGGGAGGGGGCAGGCCAGGGCCTCTCACTTCTCCCTGGGAAAACACTGCTGGCCTGGCAAATGGATTCCAGACTCTGGCTGGGAGTCTCTCCCCAGGTCCCCTCTTGCCTGCTGCTCTAGGACCCACCTGGCGCTTGGGAGGAATGGGTTGGGACCCCGAGGGCTGGGTTCTGTCTAGCCCCTGTTTCTCTCTTCCTCCTGCGTGTCCTTGAACAAGTTTGATTACTTCTCTGTGCTTCTATTTCCCTATCTGTCTGGTAAGTAGGAGAATGCACTCTGTCAAGTTCCTGTTCACGGGCCGCCTCCTCTGGGAAGCCTTCCTTGATTAGCACGGGCAGATTGTTAGAGCAACAGTTCAGTATCATGAGAAGGACATGGGTGTCTGAGTCTTTTTTTTTTGTGTGTGTGTGTGTGTGTGTGTGTGTGTGTGTGTGTGTGTGTGTGCATTTTCATGTGGAGGTCAGAGGTAAACCTGGAGTGTTATTCCTCAGGAACCATTAATCTTGTTTTTTGGATACAGTTTCTCACTGGCTTGGGGTTGACAACTTGGCTAGGCTGGCTAGCCAGCAAGCCCCAGGAATCTGCTTGTCCCTTCATCCCCAGCACTGGGATTACAAATGTGTGCCACCCAGCTTTTTAAAGTGGGTTCTAGGGGATCGAACTCAGGTCTTCATGCATGTGTGGCATGTATTTTACCAGTCCGCCTTCTGTTTCATTTTTATAGCTCTCCACTCAATGTCAATAGATCATTGTTGGGGGTCTGCTGTGTGCCTGTCACCAGGCCACTCAGATCATCAGGCTTGCGCAGTTTTTACCCAGTGGCCATCATCTCTCGAGCTTTTGTGCTCTCTCATCCGGGCTCTCAGCTTCTGCAGACATTGTCTTATTAGGATCTGACCCTGATGCGTGTGCATCTCGTTTCCATGTCATTCCTGTGCTCAGTTTCCGTGGGATGTGACGAGGCTTCTGACTTCCCCCTTCCATTGGCTTTTCGGCTGTCCTCTTGCTCTGTGTGGTGCTGGGGACTGAACCCTGAACCTCACACATGCTGGGCAAATGCTCTACCACTGAGCTGCATCCCTCCATACATTATGTCGAAGGGATTTGGGGGCTTCACTCAGGGGGTAACCTCTATGCTCTGCATTTGACTGCCGCTGTGGTTCTATGACTGTGTATGTCTGTCAAAATGTTTGGAGCTGGACAGACAGCTCAGCAGTCAAGAGCACTGGCTGCTTTTCCAGAGGGCCTGGGTTCAATTCCCAGCACCCACATGGCAGCTCACAAGCATCTGTACCTCCAGTTCCAGGGGATCTGTCACCTTCTGTCCTCCCGTGGGCAGCAGGCAAGCACATGGTGTACAGAAACACATGGAGGCAAAATACCCACATACATAAACTAATAAACTAAGTAAACAAAATTAAAACAAAAAAACAAGTTTTCTAACACCTAAAATGAGATCATTTTGTTGTGTGTAAATTGTACCTCAAAAGTGACTTTAAAATATATGCATTTGAATTTAGAAGTCAGGGTGCTGGAGAGACAGCTCAGGGGTTAAGAGCACTGGCTGCTCTTCCAGAGGACCCGGGTTCAATTCCCAGCACCCACATGGCAGCTCACCATTGTCTGTAACTGCAGTTCAAGGATATCTGATGCCCTCTTCTGCTCCTCAGGATTCTGCATGCATGTGGGGTACATAAGCGCTCTCTCTCTCTCTCTCTCTCTCTCTCACACACACACACACACACACACACACACACACACACACGAAAAGATAAATTAAAAAATAAACTTAGAAGTCAGACTCCCATGTCAGTGTTAAGTGGCAGTACAGATGTCCTGAGGAGGTAGCCGAAGTCCCAAAGAATGTCTACCATACAGTGAAATTTGTAGTTAATGAATAAATGGATAGACAGAAAATTAAGATGCACAAAGCCTGTGTCTTCTAGATGGACCCAGTAATAGAAGCCCAAATTTATCTCATGCCTACATAGAGAAGGAACGCTACATGCAAGCCGTGTGTGGCAGTTTTAGAATGTTTTTTTTTTTACATTGTTTTTCTACTATGTGTGTGTGCATAATAACCCTGAGAGACTGCACATGACAGCTCACTCACGGATGTGCTTCGGTACACATGTGTTGGAGTCTGTTCTCTCCTTGCATTACGTGGCTGCCCAGGATCTGACATAAGCCCCCATGCTCGGAAAAGCACCTTTACCTGCCCTAGTCCTAGTATGATTTCTGTCTCTGTGTTAAGCACCATAACCAAAAGCAACTTAGGGAGGAAAAAGTTTATTTCATCTTACAAGTTACAGCCCACCAAGGAAACCGAGGCAGGAGCTTGCAGCAGAAACCCCAGAGGAACAAACACGGCTTACACGCTGGCTTGCTTCCGGCTCACACTCAGCTACCTTTCTTATGCAGCCCACGTGCCTAGGGATGGTGCCACCCACAGTGGGCAGGGCCATGCTATATCACCCAACAATCAGAAAATGCCCCACAGAGTGCTCACAGGCCAGTCTCATGGAGGCAAAGCCTCACCTGAGTTCCCCTCTTCGT